TTTTGTATTATGTGTTTCTTTTAATGTTGTACGCCGCCCTGAGTCCTTGGGAGAAGGGCGGCATATAAATCTAATAATTAAATTAATTTCAGAATCAAACGTTGAAATCTGCAGAAGGTACTGCTGATCAACCCAATTACATTGATTTCTTGAGATCTAGCAGAATGATTAAATTTAGGTTCCATTCTGTAACCTGGTGAGATAAACAGGGCTCAACAAAACTAAAATGATTAACAGGGTTTGTGATTAGTCCTCATGAGGAAATGCTTACCATTCTTCCTCCATGCAAGAATGGGTGGTGGGATTCCACTGGATTCACACATCATGCTGATGAGGTTCCCTTCGATCACAGTCAGCTGAGTCACTGTCTCTGAACTGTAAATGCTTGATGGCACTAGAGAAGACAAAGATCAGAAACAATCAATCACCTCCTATTGGTTAAAACAACCTATAAAGAAATTAAATGTATTAACTTCAGCAGAGAAAGAAGAAAATGTAAAGTAAAATTCTCAATCCAAATCTTTGTTTCAAGCATTAATATTTTCAAAGGTTAAACAATGAATGCAAGTGCATTTCTTAGTTTATTTAAAATACTTTGACAGCCTGCAAATTCGGAGTTTTAAACACCAAAGAGATCCCTACATTTTAACAGTTGGATTTTATAGTGCATGATATTATTTCCAAGTCTTAATTCATTTTTTCCCCCATTGAAATAGTAAGTTCACTAGAATTTTGCCCAAAAAATAATTAAATAAAGCGGTTGCTGAATATTTCCAGCTTTTGAAATTCTAGGTACTCTGAGGAACAGACTGATGTTAAATCAGGGAGACAGCTTTCTTAAATTTAGATACCAAAAACTGTCCAACACTGCTTCTTATTCCAGGGCCAAACAAAGAATATATTTCTTAACAGTCACTCCCATATGATTTTCATAGGCAAATCAATCGTGACATACATTTCTAGGATTACCCTTAATGCTGATGCTTTAATCTTGTTCTTACCCCATATGTTGACATTGTAGTTTTTTTCCATTTTCCCAGCAATGTTTGTTGCTTCGCAAGTATAACGTCCAGTATCTTGCACCTGTGCTTGTTCAATCTAGTAAGAAACAAATCGACAAACTTATTTTTGGCAATACCTCTGGTACTCATCACTGGGCATTATAGCAATAGCAAAAGCAGTTAGACTTATATACCGCTTCATAGGGCTTTCAGCCCTCTCTAAGCGGTTTACAGAGTCAGCATATCGCCCCCACAGTCTGGGTCCTCATTTCACCCACCTCGGAAGGATGGAAGGCTGAGTCAACCTTGAGCCGGTGAGATTTGAACTGCTGAACTGCAGATAACAGTCAGCTGAAGTGGCCTGCACTACTGCACCCTAACCACTGCGCCACCTCGGCTCCATTATTATTTGTCCACCCAATACATTATTTTGATTTCTATGAAGGAAGTCATTCTCTGTGTGGGAAAGATTTATTTCAAGTAATATTTTTCTACTTTACAGACTCAAATGTATTTTTTTTTTAATACTGAATGCCTTAGAATCAGGATGGGAAGATTTTTTTGGTGTTGCATATTCTGGCCCATTAAATTTCTATTTGCTCGGGCCAAAACTGTATTCCCATTTGCAGTCTTCCTACAAGACCACAGCAATTAAAGCTTGGAAAGTTACACCGGCCCTGTTATATCTTTTAGAAAATCAAGTACAAAACCATCTTCTCCACCCCAATATTTCTTCTCCCCACCACTTGGGGAAAACCCAACACTAGCCAGGTTTTGTTCCTGCTCACATTTGACCTTCATCCAAACTTGTTCCCCGCAAGATCCATGCCAAAGTTCTTTTTAATCCCTAATCATTAGTGCTGATTGCCCACAATATAAACCCTAACTATCCCACAATGTTCAAGCAGGACTTATTCACCAATGCTGAATATGCTTTTGGATAAGTAACTCAACAGCTTTTTTGGAGAACACATCAAATGTAGCCCAGCTTTTCCTTCCTCCAGCAGAAGAAAGACGTTGTTCCGATGCCAATTCAGAAACGCAAAGGGATGGTCTTTAAGCTATTAATGTCAAGAACCCTAAACATGAGCGAGATTCACGGAGGAAATCTGAGTCATTCTAATATTTACCTTCAGGACACTTCCGCCTTCAGTAATGGTGAGACCCAGTTTCTTCTGCAGGAGCTGGCCATCCTTCAGCCACTGAAGTGTCGGCGGAGGGATAGCGTCACTTTGGCAGCGGAGTTCCAAATGTTCTCCCATGGCCACAGAGACATTCTGTTCCTCTCCCATAATATTAGGTGGAACTGAATAAACATCACGTTAGTAATTGATTTTATCTCTTTTCACTAAGGTGAATGAAGTCACCCACTGATGTCAGCATTAAATGTATTAATTTACGTCATTAATGTATTAATTTACAATAGTTAATCTTTCTTAGAAATATTGGCAGCATTACTAGGACAGTATATGAAACTATCCAAATTATACATGGAATGCTCCAGAGCAGGGGTGTTAAACTGGCAGCCCGCAGGACAGATGAATCACATCCAGGCTACGCCCACCCCACCTCTGCAAATGGGAGAAATGTAGTGAAACCTCATGTTGTGATGCAATGTGATGACCTCAGTTTGACAGCTGTGCTCCAGAGTAAATGTAGAAGAACTAAACAATCTGCTTCACATGTTTTCCTTCCATGATAGAATCATTGCCCCAATAGAAAGGGATTTCATTTGTAAAGAGGAACATAATTCAGCAAACCAATATGAGTTTTCCCTAAAATATTTGTGAAATAGCATAAATTCAACACATACCGAAGCTGATCCCCATGTCAATTTCCATTGGTACTCAATTCTTCATCATATATTACTTAATACATTGATTTCATCCTAACGGTGTTTTCAAAAGTCAGTTACCATTCTTGCTCTTTAGTTATTTACTTTTTAAAAATGCTTAGGACTTTTGGGCTTTTCAGTTGTGCCGTAACCTGAAAATGTCAGCCCTAAATTCTTCCATTAAAATTAGTTTAGAGTTACGAAGGGGCCATTCTATAGGTCTTAGAATGTGTTTACAATTATAAGAGCGTAAAATATTCCAAATGCAAAGCATTTAGAGTTTTGAGCCTCCGTTCTGAGGTCTTATGCGTTGTTTTAAGATGCAATGGTTTGTTCTTAAACTTACTGAAAGGATTTTAGTGTGGTTCCAATCATTTTGGAAGTATTCCAAACTCGAAATGTCCCCTGGTTGTTTGGAATTTGGAACAGTTCCAGAATAGCTGGAGTAGCATTAGAACACTTGTAAAGTTGGAGCACTGTCTCAAATTCAAAACAGAGAGATTCAAAATTCAAGTGCTTTGCATACCACTATTTTCACAACCAAGTATGCATTAACAGAATACTGCAGCCTATTACAGTTCTCTGATTAATCTAGCTATACCATTGTTTGTAAATCTTTATTTTTCATGCCTTGTAGCTGTATTTTCATAGGGGTTTTTTAAAAGAAAAAATCAGCAATGTACTATAAAAGCAGCTCTGAAGAACAACTCTGCTAGAATGTCTTAAGACAATATGCGAAGCCTCATCATCATTTTAAGGAAACATCTAAATATTTTTTGTTCGTAGTTTTTAAGTGCAAATTTTCAGTAATTGAAGAAAATGATTACCATTTCAATTATTATCTACTTGTCCCAAAGAAACATAGTTTTCGTTTGAAGATGACTTCCCATGTTAGATTCCTATGAAACCTATGAAGTCCATTCTATTAAAATAAACACAGGATATCACTTCCAGATTGAAAGGAAGTGAGAAGATCAATCTGTAATATGTAGTACAATAAAAAAATGCCATGGGTGATTTTAGAAAACTAATCAAGCATCACAATTGGGGTCCATCAAGATATGATAGGACAACAGATCTACAAAATTCCAAGATAGCTTATTGGGGGAAGCTATTTTAATCCTTCAAGATATCCTTCAAGAATACTTCTGCAGTTCTTGGTATAAACTTTGCTTATATTCTTACCAAAAACTCTGACATCAATATTCCTCTGTTTTTCTCCTGCTGCATTTACTGCAACACATGTGTATTTTCCAGTATCACTAATCTGAGCGCTCGTGAGTGCTAGGATGCGACCTCCAGAACGAATCTAAAAAGAGAGTGGAATTGTTTTTTTTAAAAGAATGAAACACAGGTTGAATCAGACAACGTCAGAGTATTAACTTTCATTATTCACATAATGCAATTTTCCTGATGTGAAATGTTTTTTCATCAGCCAAGAAATCTCTAACATTATTTTCACCGCTTACATTTCTCTTGTTTCTGCTCAACGCCTTGCCTAATGAATAATTCTAGATAATTCTGATTTTCATTCTAGCAATAATTCTAATGCTGGCTTTGTTATGGGTCCTAATCAAAATATTGTACAACTATGTGGGGTTTTTTTTATTTATTTATAAAATTAATAGCCTGCCCGTCTTACCTCAAGGTAACTGTAGCGTTACATTTTAGATTTTTATTGACGAATTAACACAGACAAAATTGCTTCCACATTATAGGTGAATTTGAAGTATAACTTAATATAATTTATGATCCCAAATTTAAAGAGACGGGTCTCCATGGAGAAATCCCTAAAATGTGGGTAAATTATGAGCCGAGGTGGCACAGTGGGTAGAGTGCAGTACTGCAGGCCACTTCAGCTGACTGCTATATGCAGTTCAGCGGTTCTAATCTCACCGGCTCAAGGTTGAATCAGCCTTCCATCCTTCCGAGGTGGGTGAAATGAGGACCCGGATTGTTGGGGCGATATGCTGACTCTGTAAACCGCTTAGAGAGGGCTGAAAGCCCTATGAAGCGGTATATAAGTCTAACTGCTATTGCTATTGCTATAAATGCCTTTCATGCTGCTAAGAAATTACCTGGAGTCCACTCAAAACACTAGAAACAGGACTGCCATCCTTCAACCAGGTTAGAATAGGAACAGGAATTCCACGGGCTTCACATTCCAACCTCACCTGATTATTAACTACAACAGTTACCATTTCATTACTCCCTGAAATGGAGGGAGGAACTAGAAAAAAAAAAGAAAAAAGGGACAAAGAGACAAAGAGACAAAAGGGAGAGAGAGAGAGAGAGAGAGAGAGAGAGAGAGAGAGAGAGAGAGA